CCGGCCCGACCGCCCCAGTCACTACGACGCCGGGGCTCTGACGTCACCCGTCACTGCCAAATTCGCCAGGAAATGAAGTTGTTTTTTTTTTTTTTAAATAATAACAATAATAATAATAATAATAATGACGGTAATAATAATAAAACTCCCTTTCCTCGCTGCGGAGCACGTCTGGCCGGAGCGACATGGGGCTCCCTCTCTAACTATTCCCCCACCACCACTCGTTGTCCCCCTATAATCTTTCCCCAAGGGACCCTCAACGCAGCCCCCTGAGGGGGGACCCGCAGCGCAGCCCGGCGGAGAGGGGGCCGTACTGGGGGAGCTAAAGATTGGAACAGGGGGAGGTGATTATGGTCCCCCCCGCATCCTTTGGTCTAACGCCTCCTGCACCCAAAGCCGGGGTTGTCCCGCTCCTCCCGGCCCCCTGACCTCGGGGCTGCGCGGTGGCGCCGGGACCGCGGCGCCCCTCGCCCCTCCTGCCCGTGCGGGGGGGTCGCAAGCGCTGGGGCCGGGCAGCAGCTCCTCCGGCGGCTGCCGRGCGCGGAAGGGGCGGTGGAGCCGGCTTCTCCCGGGACGGGCTGGTTGGCCCGGGCAGGCCGGGGACAGGGGCTGGGCCAGGCTTGGTGGGAGAGGGGCTGGGGTTCAGGAGGGCAAATATCCCCCGCGCCGCGGAGCGTGCCCGGGAGCCTTAGTCCGGTGGTGCCCGGGAGGAAAGGGAAACAAAACCAAAATTAAAACAAAAATCGTGTTAGAAAGGGAAAGTTAAAAGGCAGAGAGAAAACCAAGCGAGCTTTCTAAAAATCCGGCTTCACCCTCCGAAGCGATTGTCTTTCTACATGAAGCAAAATCACCCAAATATCACCCGAAAATGATTTTTTTTTTGTGTTGAAAGAAAGGTGAGTATAAAATGAACTCGGGCCGTTGCAGGTAGATCCCCTCGGCGCCTCTACTACATACTGCCGGAGACTGCCGGGGCCGGGGTGTGCAGTGCCCGGGGAGTGCCTCCCGATGGAGCAGGGCGGCGGTCAGCCGGGATCACCCGGGCCTCGCCGGCTCCCGCTCCTGGCCATCAGCGAAACCCAGGTCCTCGCTACATGCTT